ACCCTAAACCCTAACCCTAAACAAGGAGAGCGGTATGGCTTCTATGGGAGCTCCCAACCGATCCTCTGCAGAGGGACTCCTGCCTGTGCTCTTGTTGAGCAACTTTGGGTTCAGGGTGGCAGGGGGGGGGTTGGAATATGTTTTAGGGTTTTTGGGTTTTTAGGGNNTTAGGGTTTTTAGGATTTTAGGGTTTTAGGGTTTAGGGTTTAGGGTTGTTGGGTTCAGGGTGTCAAGGGGTTGGAATATGTTTTACCTATAATCTCCATTGAGTTCCTTTTTTGGGGATACCTTATAGAATCCTTAGTATATATTTTGGTTAAACCAAAAAAAGGAACTACAATGGAGACTATTATAGGTAGGGCTTTTAGGGTTTAGGGTTTGGGATCAGGGTTTGGGGCTTAGGGCTGACAGTTTGGGACTTAGGGGTAGATTTCAGGGTTTCAGATTTTGGCACTTAGTTGGCTTTACGGTGGTTGTGGCTTGCTGACACTTTGGGACTTAGGATTAGATTTCAGGGTTTCTGGTGTTGGCAGTTAATTGGCTTTACGGTGGTTGTCAGAAGTTTAGGGGTGAAGGTAAGGAGCAGGACCTAGGTTGTCATTCTGATTCTGGGTGTATGTAACTATGTTCTCACAGGGCTTCTTGGGATATAGCTTTTCTGACTTCTCTGGTTACGATACCCCAGTTGCAAGTGTACTTAGGTCGTGCGTGTTATGCTTAGATTCCAAGCAAGATGGTTCAGAGTTTCGGGTCGATCGAGGTTTCGGCACAAGATATCGCATTGAAGGTCTGTTGTTCAGGAGTTTGAGGCGTAGGTTTAGTTTAAGGACCTGCAGGAACCGGGTGCTCGGTTTACTCGCGTCTGTTTAGGGTCTGCAGGTTTCACAAGCCCCCAGTGAACAATCGAAGGATCGACAATGCGCGACAGGTTGCAATTCAATGTTTTCGTCATGTGTCATGCTTGGATCCTAAAGAACCTACGTTTTGTCGGGGACAATTCACCCAGAGGGTTCAAAGATACCAACACTATGTCACTATGGAATCAGGCCACGAAAGAGCACCTAATCATGGTCTTGGGGGCCTAACTCCGTCACGATAGTATTTACGAACTTCCTGGGAGCGGATAGAAACCTCCAATCCCTAAGTCCTGAACCTTAAACTTAAACCCTAAAGCCTTAACCCTACTCAACCCTAGACCCTAAATCCGTGACCATAAACCCTAAACCATAAAACCCCGAAGAGCCCTTCTAACGGTTGATGATATAAATCCTGCATTACCCACAATAAGGAATATACCGCCATAGTTCCCATAGTTTAGGTTCTTTCAGGTAATGCAGGATTTGTATCATCAACAGTAAGTAGCTCAAAGGTTCCAACCCCTACACCCAGACCACGGAAGGATCTAGAAAGTAGATCCCTGGTTTGGGATTTCTACCATCAACAGAAGGCTAGCCGCCCCCATAGAACCCTCTAAGGAACCCTTTAAAGAGACCCTATGAAGCCCTATTCTAAGTACTGAGGCCCCTCACCCCTAAACCCTAAACCTGAAACACCAAAGTACTACGGACCTGGTTTATATCATCCACCGAGCCCTTTAAAGAAACCCTGGCCCCTACCTTATAGAACCCTTCTAGATCCCTTTAAGGAGCCCTTTAAGGGAACCCCTAGTCTAAACCCTAAACCCTAAACCCTAAACCCTAAACCCTAAACCCTGAAGCCCTAGTCTACTTCTAAGTACTAAGGATAGCATGAGTTTCAGCGCCGGCATCACTGCCTGCGACCTCGCCGGTCGTTGGGAGATGGGTGTTCTGCTCCTAGGCTGCTCAGTGGGTTTAAAGGGGGTTTAGGGGTTCAGGGTTCATGGGGTTTTGGGTTTGGGGTTTTGGGGCTGTAGGATTTTAGGGATTAGGGTTTAGGGCTTTTAGGGTTTTAGGGTTTAGGAGATTAGGGTTTAGGGTTTTAGGGTTTAGGGGTTTAGGGTTTTAGGGTTTAGGGTTCAGGGTTTGAGGGTTGAGGGTTTTAGGGTTTTGGGGTTTAGGTTTTAGGGTTCAGGGTTTAGTGTTTTAGGTTTTCGGACGGGATTTAGGGTTTAACTTGGGCTTAAGGGTTTTTATGGCTGCTCAGTAGGTTACGGGTTCGGGGTTCAGGGTTTAGGGTTTAGGGTAAGCGGCTTCCTTTAAGGCTTTAGGGTGTAATTCGGTCTTAGCGGTTTTATGGCTGCTCAGAGGTTCGCTTGTGTGTTGGCATGTTGTTGTGTTAACGGGTTCCTGTAAGGGTTTAGGGTATTAGGGCTTTAGGGGTTTAGGGTCTAGGGTTCCTTTTAGGGTTCTATAAGGGTATCATGGGGTTTGCGGGTTAGGGGTTTAGGGTTCTAAGGCTAGAAGTATGGGCCCCTGATATGGACCCTTACGCCTTTCTAGGGACCCTTAAGGGTAGATATAGGGTATATAGTAGGTGTATAAGGATCCAAGGATTAAAGGGGGCCCATACCAGGGGCCCATGGCTTCAACCTTAGAAGGGTGGTCGTTCAGAGGTATACTTGTGTACAAGTTGGCTTCTGGGCTCCTTCTGCAACAAAGCCAACTCCCGGAAGCATTTCTAAACCCTAAACCCCAAGCCCTAAACCCTGAACCCCAAACGCTAAACCCCAAACCCTAAACCCTGAACCCCAAACGCTAAACCCCAAACCCTAAACCCTGGACCCAAAAACCTAAGCCCTAAACCCTAAACCCTAAACCCTGAACCCAAAAACCTAAGCCCTAAACCACATGATATTGTTGACTTGGTACCCCGGGCCCGACGGTCATGGAGGTAGGAAAAAACACCTTCGTCTGGGCACTTATAGGGTTTCGGGTTTGGGGTTGGGTGTTTACGGCGTAGGGTTCAGGGGTTAACCCTAAGGCTCAAAATCGGGCTCTACAATCAGGTTTCCAGTAAGGGTTCCTTCAAAGGGGTCTCTCATGCCCAAATATGAGCTACGGGATCTTAGAAGATCTGGGCCAGGACTTCTAACCCTGAGGCTCAACATTGCCCAAAAGCCTTATACCCCTAAAGACCCAAAGGCCCTAAAATAGAGTTCTCAGAGCTTCAGGTAAAGATCCGCATCCTGAGAATCGTCACCGTTCTTGTTTCACCAAGCCCCAAACCCCTAAGCCCTAAGCCCTAAAGCGTTAATCTAAACCCTAAACCCGTACATACTTGTTTCCAGTGGCTTGCTGAACTGCCAGGCTCTTCTCCCTGATGACCTGCGAAAGAATTTTGCCGGACGTCCTGGCCTTCAACGCCGTTACTGAGCCGAGAGCAATAGGGTTTAGGATTTAGGGGTTTCTGAGCCAAGTAATAGGGTTAAGCAGCTGAGGAGTTTAGGGATTCAGGTTTCTGTGCTGAGAGTCTACTTATTTCTAGGACTAAAGGAATATACTGGAAGTCCCAATTAAGTTCAAGCCCCGTTGCGATTAAGCCAGTTCTTTCGATTAAGGGCTACTGTGCGCTCGGTCTCTCTCTCTCTCTCTCGACATGTGCATCTCTTCTTGTCCAGGGATCCTACTTTGGGGAAATCCCAAACACCTCGATCTTACCAATCTGACAGGGCTTTGCTAGGTGGCACTGTGGGAAGCTTGTTAATTCCCCTTTGTGGTTCCTAATGGGGGGGTACCTATTCATAAGTAAGTCTAAGGGCCCCAGAGCTACAACCCAGTTTGGGATTTAGGGTGTAGGGCTTTCGGGCTGGATTTCAGGTTTTGGGGTATTAGGGTTACCCTAAGGCTCCAAAAAGCCCCCAAAGCCTTATATAGTTTGGTTTTTGGGCCCAAAAGCCTTAAAATATGAGTCCTTAGACCCTTAGGGTTGGGTTTTAAGGTTTAGGGTTTAGGGTTCCACAACACCTAAACCCTACGCAGTTCCTGACATCAGAAAGCCAAGACCCGCCGTGCGGATAGCGCCTGCAACGACAGACAGAACCAACTGAGCAAGTTATAAGTGTATAGACACAATATATATATATATATATATATATGTATGTATGTATGTATACATATATATATATGTCTAGATATAGCTTTCCATGGAAACTAAAACCTTCTGTATGATTTGGATCACCATGAGTATAGACATGGAGCAATACGTAAGTTGTTCAATATATAAGATAGAGAGACACACGTCTGAGGCAGCCCTTCTAAAGAACGAAGAGACATCCCGTAAGCCACACCTAAAAGCCCTCCTAAGTCCTGAAGCCTAGGGATAGACCCTCCTGAATCCTAAACCGCAAAACCCTCTTAACACCTAAACCCTACCTTCTAAAGCTCTAAGAGCCTTTTCTGTGATGCTCAAGGTTCTGAGCTCCGTTGCACGCGTTGGGCAGTGGGAGCCAGTGCTCATGTTGCTTCAGGACATATCTCTTCAGCGAGTGGTGCGGTTTCGGCTACAAGATTGGAGGATGAGGGTAGTGTCTGCTGATTTCTGAGGTGTCAGGGTTGGGGTTTAGCCAGACCTGTAGGAGTTTCGGGTTTAGGGTTTAGGGTTTAGGATTTAGGGTTTAGGGTTTAGGATATTTCGGAGAACCCCTCTCATGACTCTTATTGAACTTCAACCCTGGCGTAGGATAGCGGCGCTCTTTCCTCAGTCGGCACACTCCTAAGACTGAAAGCCTATAATGCAGCCCAGGCCCAAGCCCTCGAAAACACAACAAAGAGTTAGTTGAGTTTTAAGTTTTAAGTGGCAAAAACCCGAGTACAGATGATGCCCTACATCCTTAAACTCTAGACCCCAAACTCTAAACCTTGAACCCTAAACTTTTAAACCCTAGACCCTATGTCTGAACCCCAAGACCCAACTTTCTAACTTCAAGCCTTTGAACCCTTAAGCCCTAAACCCTGGTGTAGAAGCCTAAATAGTTGCCAACACTATTGCGGGGGGTCCTTACTGTAAGTACAATATATAGGGGCCTTAGTAATTACCTGCACTTCTTTGGGGGCTCGTTGTTACAAGTATACTATAATAGACACCAAAACCCTATTCCAACTATTTTAAGGCCCCTACAGTAGAACTCAGAGGAGATGCGTTCTGTGGAAGTCACCCCGGACGCCTTCAGCCGCAGCGCCGCCATCAGCGCTTGCGCCGCGGGTGGTCGCTGGGAAATTGCTCTCAAAGAGCTGCTTGGCCCAGTTCTTGCGTTTAGGGTTTAGCTTGGGGTCTTGGGTAATTATCGGGTTTGGGGCTGCTGGTGGATCAAAAGAGCACATGAAGCAGGGCTTCATTAAAGTAGGGATTTGGGTAACATCCTTTTAGATTGAATTTGGCAGGTGGAAATCTGTTCTTATGTCTGGTTGCTTTTCTATGGCTCCTGCACTAGAGGCCTTCTCGGTTCCTAGCCCGTAAACTCTAAAACCCTTATCCCCACCCCTTAACCCCGAAATCTCAACCCCTAGCCCTAAAACCCAATACCAAAACCCCAATATCGAAACCTTAAATCCCCAAAATCCTAAGCTTTTCAAGCTGTAAGCGCTAAACTGCCTAATCTGCAGCCATACCTGGGACGTGCCTTGTAACTACATTGGAAGAATGTTGAAGAGTATTTAGTCCTGTATGGTAGTATTAGGGAGGCCCCCTTAAAGGGGACCCTTCTTAACCCTACTTCTGGCTCTCTTAAAAGGCACCTTGTTGAGAGGGTCTATATCCCCAATGGCCCCCCTAATCCTACCTATAGTCTCCATTGTAGTTCCTTCTTGGGGGTTACCTTTTAGGATCCTTAATATAAAATTGGATAAACCCAAAAAAGGAACTACAATGGAGACTTTAGGTAACCCCCATGTAGTTGATTACATTCCAAGGCTCTGGGTTTCGTGGGAGTCTTTTCTTTGTCCGGATCTTGGAAGAGAAATTCTTGTTGCTTTTTGCCTCACCTGTGAGATACCCTAAAGCCTAAACTTTCTTGCTGCTTTTGGTCTCACCTCTAAGATGAGTAGTGTTCTGAGGTTCCCCAGTGGTACCCTTTCTGCCCTTTCTGCTTTGGGGGTTCTCTAGACGCTGAACCCCAAGGCCCTAAGGCCCTAAGGCCCTGAACCATAGTCTTCAGCCCCAAGTGCCCCAAGCCCTAAACCCCAAGGGCCTCGTTATTCCGAAGCCCAACAAAGACCTACAACAGGTTTAGGGTTCAGGGTTTAGGGTTTAACAAATCTTCCGTAGATCTTTAAATGAGACAGTATCGGCCCTAAAGACCTTGAAATCCCACAAATCCCTTGCAGAACCCTTCACGCAAGAGCCCTAAACTAAGCCCGAAATCCTAAGCCCTTGACAAAGAACCCTAAACCCTAAACCCCTAAAGCCGTAAGTCCTAAACCTTGAACCGCCACACACACAAGAAGCCTCGAGCACGCCTTTCTCAGCACGAAAGGCTCCAACGGCCTGGGTCCTTTGCCAACATCGCCGTCTTCAACGCAGCTTGACTTTTTTTTGCATTTAGAGTTTACCTCAAAGGGCCCCTGAATGCGGCTTATAGGGCTCATAGGGCTTATAGGGTTTACTTGGCTTTATGACTTGAGGGTTCATGGGTTTGGAGTAGGGTTTGGATATGTTTTTCGGGTTTTGGGGTTTTCGTTTCGCCGGTTTCTGGCTATTGGGTATTTGTGTTGCGTGCTTTCGGGGTCTGAGGTTTATGTTTGAGTGTACCGCACTTCCAGCCTCAAGCTCATGACGATGAGACCTATAGTAGAAGCCATAAAGTTGGAACATGATCATCCTCATGCCCTCAAGGTAAAGTGTAAAGGGATCCTGGCACTAATCGTCCTGAATCCATGTTCCAACCTTCTGGGATTCATTATAAATCATGCAGGTTCTTTCGCAAACTGTAGCAACGTTGTTCGACTACTACAGTGAGGTTGGCCTGTACGTCATCGGTGAAGTTGCAAGTATTTCTAGCTGGAGTCATCTACATCCTAGCCCAAAGGGTCCTATGTACCTATATGGTGGAACGGGAGGGTTTCTATATTAGGAGTTACTCTTATGATTTAGGGAGGTATTCCCTAAATTCTAAGCCCTAAATCCTAAACCCTAAGCCCTAAACCCTAAGGAAGTATCCCCCCCATAACAGTACATAGGACGCTTTGAGTAGGAACCCCTCCTCAGGCTCCAGACCCCTAGGTTCCAAAAGCCGAACGGGGTTTAGGGTCTATAGGGTAAGACACAAACATGCCGGCCCCAGTTTTGACCCGATTTATCCTCACCCAACACCAAAGAGATGAGATAAAGTATGAATCACGCACACCTAGAGTCGAAGTCTTTCAAGAAACCCTAAGCCCCAAGCCCTAAATGCTGAACTCTGCACCTTTCTGAAATCCGAACGCCCACATAAGCCCTAAACCCTCAAAGCACCCTAAACCCGATGCCTTCAGGGTTCAGGGTTTGGGGTTGGAGGGGTTTGGGGTTTCAGGGTTTGGGGGTCTTGCTGTTAGGGGATTCGGGTTTAGGGCACCCGGCTCCGTCTCCGTGGCTTTCCGGAGGCAGCGATGTCCGCGCTTCAACGAGCGGGGCTCTGGCAGCGGGTCCTCGAGCTGCTCGCGGATCTGCCCAGCAGGAACCTGGAGGCTGGCTGTAGTAAGAACTATGCCCAAACCCTAAACCCTAAACCCTAAACCCTAAACCCTAAACCCTATAATATGCTTATTCTGATTGGGGTTTAGGGTTTAGGGTGGCTGTAGTAAGGAATCCCTAAGGCTCAAAAAGCCTTATATAATATGGTCTTTGGCCCCAAAAGCCTTAAAATACGAGTCCTCAGAGCCTTGGGGAATATGCTTATTATGATTGGGGTTTAGGGTTTAGGGTGGCTGTATAACACCCGGTTTAGGGTTTAGGGTTTAGGGTGTTATAGCACCAGATTTAGGTAAGCAATATACATGTTATAATAGGATCCATATGAATTAGGGGCTGTAGAGGACTAGATGTATGTAAGGAATATACCTATTAGCATACGATCCTCAATATGAATCAGGGAGTCTTCCGTAGTTCGGAGATTTTGCAAGATCTAGGAGGATTCCTTGAAGGGCTCCATCAAGGGTTCTGCAAAGCTTTCGGGCTTGGCTTTCAAGATTCAAGGCCTTAGTTCCCCAATACCCAACCTTTAAACTTTATGGGCTCTTGTAATTTAGTAGTAACCTGAAAGTTTAACCTTTTATTTCCCTGGCTTATTGGGGAAGTAAGAGGCTTCGGTGCAAAGGTTGGCAGTGAAAATAGGGATTTGGAGGCTCTAATCTACCCTTAAGCCCTAAATATGGGTTCCTGGAAACCTCTGGGTTAGCCGAAGGCAGATTCGATCAGCTTCAATGTGGCCATCAGTGCCTGCGAGGGCGCAGGGATGTGGCAGGCCGGATCTATGGTGTTCATCGCCTGGAAATGGCTTGTGTGAGGTTCTCGTTCCGCGAGGTGTCATAGGTGTTGCTTATAATTAGGGTTTGGGCGGTTTGGGGTTTTGGTTATAATTCGGGTTTAGGGCTTGGGGTGATAATGGGGGGGGGGGGGGGTTTAGTGTTATAATTAGGTTGGGTATATTTCACAACAAGAAAGAAGTCTGCAATTTGGGTTTTGGATTTGAGTCGTAGGCCCTATAGAAGTTGAAGCGCAGCACCAAAGCTTATTAAGGATTAGGTTACCTGTACAAACACACGAAACTTCCTTCGAAATGCTTTTCCAGCAGCTTGACCTCGAAACCGCTTTTCAGTGAACTACCCAAATCCTTCATTGCCCAGCTATGTGACAGTTCTTTCGATTCGCAGTTGATATGTGGTGACGGTCTTGCTGGTGTTGGTCGTCGTCATCGTCCCGATCCTCGTCATGGTGGTCGTAAACGAAACGGCAATAAACAAGCAAGCGAGCTAGCGAGCAATGTGAGCTTTTAAGTCAGTCAGCTGTGTAGCTATCTATCTAACTAAATAACAGCCTATCTATCTACTTATTTATCTATCTACCTACCTGCCTACCGATCTATATCCCTCTCTCTGATCTCTCTCTCTATCTCTCTCTCTCTCTCTCTCCCTGTCTCTGTGTCTCTCTATCTATCTATGATCTATCTTCCTTTCTAGCTGCATATATATATATACATACACACATGCACATACACACACACACACATATATATATATATACATAGATACATACA